AAAATGTAATCGAGGAGCTTAATAGCCTACAAGAATATGATTGGCATTTGTCTACTGTATCAAAAATCGAAACTTTTCGCTTGTCTTCTCAACTTTAATTTATATTTAAGTCAAAAAGGTAAGAGTAAATAATTATATTGATTGGAAAGTTAAATGTAAATAAAAATTATATATCCGTAATGATTACTGACTAGGCTACTATTGAATGCTTAATTTCCCCTGCTTAATTTAATTAAGTACTGTATGCCTATGATTGCAAACATCTGGGTTACTTTTATGTTAATGGTATTCAATAGCATTAACATTTTTTTAATCCATGATGTCTTCTTACATAAAACAGAAAAAGTGAGTATAGTAATTGTTTCTTTAAAAAACATATTCCAATCGTTGAAGCGCTAAATTTATAATTTAGCTCTATGTTGATTTTAAACAAAAGCATAGACATTGTTATTCACATAAATATATAAAAGAATATTATGAACCATGTGTATAAGAATTTAGTATTGTGATAAGTAGTGTTTCATTATTGCAAAGAGTCGTTTAAACCAAATATACTGAAACAGTTACTATCAAATTTAAGAATTCACTCAAATCGAAGATATAATTTCTGTTCGAATGATAATTAATGAGATAATTGCATATTTGTTTTAACTACCAACTTGTTAAATCTACCATCTTGCTATGTTTTGCTGAACACGACAGTATCATTCAAGCAACACACAACTATCAGAACGTAGCAAAACATGACGCATATTAATTTACATGAAACAAATTACAATTCTCATTACCAATTAAGACTTTTGATGTTTATTATTTAAATATTATCTGATATTATTTTTCAAAACAGTATTGACAATTGTTTTTAGATTAATTTAAGTCGAACTCTATTTGTGTTTTATAGATAATATAGCAAACATAATTATCAACTGATCGACAAGTTACCTAAAATAAATATGTTTTAATACTTGTTTTCCTGGGCACGTAAAGATTTTTCATTTTCATAATATTGTATGGTTATTAGAGGAAATGTCTCCACTTCCATTGTGTAAAGAGCAGTTGAATTGAAGTCGTATTTCAAACCCGTACTACTTTTCATTACGGAAATGCTGGCGTTCAAAAGCCTTAAAAGGGGTTTACGACAACTACCATATATCGTAGATAAGATCACCAAATAGGAAGGTTATTAATGAACAATAGGATGCATTTCATTGACAAGTTCTACATAATAGGTCTATTAGGCGATTATGTTGAACACTTACTAAATACATATTTAAAAAGGGAATTCCCCAAGACTGTGAAATAACTGATTTTTGAAATATTCACTTAAAACAAAGTAAACGTCAAAACTCGATTCAAATTAATTCAGTACCACACCGTGACGTATGTCATAATGTGATATGGTGGCATACACTCACCTAAAGCGCTAATCAGCTGAATGTTACTGTAAATAAAATTTACTGATTTACCGTATATAACAACAAAATTAGTTCCTTAGTAGAAGATTTAAAACATTTTTATTCTTTCATCGGCCAATTAGATATTCATCATAGGCATATCCGGGTCTTTTTGCATAGATTTATTTCCGGTTGATCCAGAACAACACCTAGATCATCAAATCACGAAGATAGAATATTGCACCAATTGTGTGACCCTTATACTCAATCAAACAAAACACCTGAATAACGACAAAATCTGGTCAGCAGAGTTTAAGATATGTACATATACTATAGGCATATACATACATACATATATATATATATATATATATTAGGCCTATATATATATATATATATATAGTATAGCCTAAATAGCCTATATATTGTATATATATATAGTATATTTTGATTTATATGTATATTTAATACATAATGTTATATACA